CAAATATATTTTAGAGAGTAAAATGTGAGTGCATGAATTGGTTTTTGATAATTTTTTTTTTCTTGTTGATGTTCTTCTTTTGATTTTTTTTTTTTCGTAGTTTTGCTCATTTTGAAAGGAAGTTGTGAATTATCTTGCTGAAAGTTTGTTTACTAGATCTAAGCAGTATGATCCTCGAAGACGTAAACAACTGATTGTGCGTGTCGTCTGTACGTGAATTACATACGGACGACGGGCACAATACATCGATGAAAAATAAACAGCTTGCCATTATATTTATACGTAGCTCGTGTAAGAACGACACAAATAAAATTTACTTCAAAAGCACAGTTTATATGCAAAGGTAAGGAACAGACGCAAACATCTTCTTCATGAAGTCCTGCAATCCGCCGGTACAAAACTATACATGGCCACATCTCTCGCCTCACCCTTCGAAACCAAATACTTCCTCAACACCCCCTCTTTCCGAAACCCCGCTTTCTCCAACACCCTCTGCGACGCAGGATTGTCCAGAAACACCATCGCCTGCACCCTCTCCAACTCCGACCAAATCTCGAACGCCTCCTCTAACGCCATCCTCACCGCCGCCGTGGCGATCCCCCTTCCCCAAAACTCCGGCACAACTATGTATCCAGTCGAAACCCTCTGTCGTCCTCCGCCGGCATCTTCCGGGCGGAGGACGATGAATCCGATTGGGCGATCATCGGCGGCTTCGGATAGGCAGATGAAGCGGAACCAGGGGAGGGGAAGGATGATGGTTTCGATGAAGCGGACGACATCATCTCGGCTGGAGAAGGGATCAAAATGGAGGGTGCGGTTCACGCGTTCATCGGCGCCCAAATCCATTATGGTTTCGAAGTCGGTAGTGGAGGAGCTGTTGAATGGGCGGAAGGTAATCATGGTGGCTGATTTTGGAGGTGTGGGCACTACTCACGCATAAGTAACGTGCGTAGCCAATGAAATCACGCCACGAGATCCTGCGCGATAGAGAAAAAAAACGGCGCAGTAACACGGGGAATATTCCCTCCCACGTTATTGATGTGTTATTCATATGTTATTATAACACCAGGAATATTCTCAGGACACAATAATACATGAATAACACACAATAACACATCCATAACGCGGAAGGGAATATTCTCTGTGTTACTGCGTCGTTTTTTTTCCTCTATCGCGCGGGTGTCGTGGCATGATTTCATTGACTACACATGTTACTTTACGTGAATAGTACTGATGTAATATTTTTCTCGGGGAGAATCGTCAGATAAGTTTCATACTTAACACAATTCTTATTTATTTACATATGTCACACCAAAACCCTTGTCTTTACACGGAAATCAAGCAAATTTTTAATATCATAGAAAATTTGTTTTCTCAAAGAAGAAAACATCTTGTCATAATAGATTCAAATCACCAATGTATTATATATATATATATATATATATATA